CCCGGGACCTCATGCAAGCGATCAGCCGCCTCTATAGCCGGCGAATCGCTTGTATATTAACGGGCATTGCTGCCTGTTTTCAAACATCGTGCATTTCTGGCGCACAAGGGGGCGTGGCTGAGCAGACATCTAAAGACTCCCGCTCAGATCTAGAGAGCTCCTGGCCGGCCGTTTTTTGTTTTTTTTTACAACGGCCGGGAAGTGGTTAAAAGAGAAATAAAGTCAAACCTTTTTTTTGGCTTTAGTTCTCTTCTGGGTCACAGGAGTAGATTTACTAATGCCCTCCTGTAATTCAAAAGCAGCAGACAGAGGACTACTGCCTCCTATAATATTGTCACCCCGCTACCTGATTGACAGCTGGCTCTGCCTCTCTAGAGCCAGTGTTCTATCAAAGATTGTGACTGGGTTGGAATGTGTGACCGGTGACATGGTCACACATTTAAACGTAATCCCGCCCACTTTTTCAGTGGTGGAATATGTGACCGGCAAAAGTTGAAGAATTCCAACACTTTGTCAGCTGTTCCAGGGCAGATCGTCATCGCAGATCGTATGTGCAGGAGAACCGATCTGCCCTTGAACAGCTAATCGGTCCTGAAATGTCACTTCTATCCGACTTTGCGGAATGCAAGATCACGCTCAAAGTCGGATAGAAGTGACATTTCAGGACCGATCAGTTCTCCTGCACATACGATCTGCGATGACGATCTGCCCTGGAACAGCTGACAAAGCGTTGGAATTCTTCACCTTTTGCCGGTCACATATTCCACCGCTGAAAAAGTGGGCAGGATTACGTTAAAACGTGTGACCACATGACCAGTCACACATTCCACCACCGAAAAACTGGGCGAGATTATGTTAAAATGTGTGACCATGTCACCGGTCACACATTCTAACGCAGTCACAAACTTTGATAGAACACCAGAGCCAGCTGTGCCCGTCCCCTCCCATCTGTTTCTCCAATGAGCACTGAAGGATCGGAGAGGGGGGAATCCCTGTAGGGGATTTGTGAGTGACAGTCACCGCTCTCAGCAGGGAGAAGATTGTGAGCTGAATGATCACCGATCACATGATCGCTCAGTTCTCGTTCTATAGCGCCGGCATGCGACTGCAGTGTTTACTCTCCCAATACTCCTCCTTTAATATGATAAAGTGATGAGACTTTAGTGACTGGGCTTAAATAGAACTTTGTGTAAGAACATGTGCAGCGATTATACAGCCATATTATCTGGTCTATTCCACTATATATTAGGCCTTCCAAACACCAATCTATGAAAAGCTTCACTGATCCAAATTGACTGCAATTAGATTATGTTTCTATATCATTTCATCTGGAATTACTGAACCAACAACTAAACTGAGTGAAGACTGAAATTAAACATCAAAGGCTTATTTGCCCCCTGTATATGCAATGACCCAGATCACATGACCCCATCCACTCCTTATTCATTTCATGCTGCCTGTGCTGAAAGTACTTCTCTATATATCTATGCCATTTGTAAACACACTCTTATAATCAAAAGATAGCAAAACATGTACCAAGGCTACCAATAGTCCCCCTAACAGATGGTTTTTAGCCCTGTCCCTCATTTAATAATGACAGCAGCCTTATCAGTAATAGTCAGTACGTCTGTTTGCATTGTGCAGTGCAATGAACCCCATGGGCCCAGTATAACAGCAGCCATACTCAGCCCGCTCACCATCTTCTTGCTCTCCGTTCCTCTATTTGCTTGCCGGGACATGGCTTACAGCTGTGACCGATACCACAAGCACGAGAAACACGGATTCTCTATCACACACGGCCGAATAGATCCTTTCCAAACAGTCCCCACTGACAGTGCCGACCTCCACACTGCGCCTGCGCACAATACCGACACGACTTCTGGGAAATGTAGTCTTGTAGTCTATGAATGCCAATGGCCGAATGCCGACAGTAAACTACATTGGGGCCATAGCAAACTTCCTGGCAGGAAATGTTGTGTCGAGGTTCACTTCCTCCCAGCAAGTAGGATTCCCTTATGATTGTAAGTCCCAGAAACCCTTGCGTGGATGTGAACTATCGCTGTGCAGTACATGGACGGGGCACCAGAGGGCGCTACAATCTGATATAGCAGACTGGCAGCGCTGAGTGCAAGGAGACTTCTGCATTTTAAAGACAGGGAAGCTGCTAGTATTCTAGGCGTAGGCAAACTCAGCACTCCAGCTGTACTGAACCTACAAATACCGTCATGTCCTGCATCTGCTAGTCATGCCTGTGGCTGTCAGTCCTGCAATGCCTCATGGAACCTGTAGTTCTACAACAGCTGAGGCGCCATGGTTTCCTACCTCTGTACTATCACATGTTGGATCACTGTTTACCAAGTTAAAGTGACAATAAACTCTTAAATCTTAAAAATGTATCCAAGTACCTTAACTATTAACAAAAATGTATCTTATTTGTGTATCACTGAGCTGTAGATCCTCAAATCATCTCTGAATTCATTCTGACACTGTCCTTCCTTCTAAACAAATGTGTTAATGTGCACAGATCCTGAGTGGTTAGGTGCCAACCCCTTGTAAGTATCAATTAATGAAAAAGAAAAGAAAAAGGTGGGGTCTTTTTTGCACCAGTTGACAAGACCAATAATTCCAGAAAAAAACTTCTTTTGATGTAAAAATATATTTTTTTATACAAAAAATTCATTATTTTAAAAAACATTGTACGATGATATATTCAAAAATACCCACAAGGGGTGAAAAAGAAGAGGACCACCTAACACCCACTCTGTTCCATATTGAGGGTAAATTACATGATAGAAGATATAATATAATGACATGATTGTTCTAACAAAAAATACAATGATTAGACATGCATAGATCAAAAAGAACACAATTCGTTGATTAATGGTGAAAAAAACTTCCAGGTCATTTGTTTATGTGGAGGTGCATGTGAAGTCTCTGCTTCCTAACACTTACTAAATGGACACTAGAGGGCACCATGGTTTTATAGACAAGTCTTCTAATACTAAGTCTGAGGTATTAAATATTTGCATTCCTGTTATACTGTACTTATCACTACTAAATATACTGTTTAGTGTGTGATTACTTTAATAATTGGTAAAGTAAATGTGTGAGGATAGAAATATGAGAGTTTTCACTTCTAATTTTGTCTGCAAGTGTGTAAACGTATGTGCAGTCATCATAATCCTAACTTTCCTAACTACTGACCTGGAACACACATGTAGCCATTGAAGTCTGAAAAACCTTAAAGGAGAACTATGAGGTGAGTGCTTTTCACTCACCTCATAGTTCTAGCCGACCTGTGACAATGAGACTGTCACAGGTCGGCTCAGTAGATGGGGAGGTGAGCAAACACATAACGGCGTTCGCTCACCTCTCGATCCTGTCACGGCTCTCTGCCGT